TAAAAAAAAAGAGAAACTAACTTTTTGGGTCCTTTGACAAAGCACCAATCTACTCCGATTGGCTGTCCAAGAATTTCTGTGCCATTCAAAGCTTCTTTAGCTGCAAGGGCTTCTTTGTACGTTTCATACTCAACGAGAGCATAACCTTTGAGAAAGCCTGTTCTTCTGTCGAGATTTAGATGCAAATTCTTGATCTGCCCAAATTCAGAAAACTTGTCCTGAATGTCATCTTCTTGAGCTTCTTCGTGCACCGATGTAATAAATAAAATCCAACCCTCTACAGCTATAAACAAAGAGTAAAATTTTTACTTACCATTCCTTATTCATGGTAAAATAAAGTATAAAATTGACAAATATTTACATCTCTGTGGACCAGGCTCGTTGTCATCCTCAACTACGTGCATGGACTCGTAATGACCAACGTCATCTTTTGTGGAGACAAGTTCTGCACCGTGCCCACGACCTTTTCTCTTTTTTGCCTTCTCCTTCAACCTTGCAATTCCCTCTGAGGTAACAAAAAACAAAGATGCATTTATTGGTGCAATGTATAATAGAAAATGAAAAATGTTATTTTTAGGTTAATCAGGAAGAACAGTAAACTATAAATAAAGTATAACACTCACGGTCCCCCTCGTCGTCGACCTCGAACTCTTCCGCATTGTCGAGCTCCAAAACATCAGCCATCGTCACAGGATTTAAAGTACCTCCTTATAAAACAACAACCAAGTATTTTACAACTTTATTCGACAACCGACAACAAAACAGACGGCGTGAGTGGGGATGGGGGTGCCAGCAATGACGACGACGCTGCTGCTGCAGCAGAGGGTCGTTCACTTTAAATAAAATGGCGGTAAAATTTAAATGTGTTGGCCCGGCGCTCACTTGTCCTTCAAACTTTTTCCCGGTGAAAATTTTTTTGTTATAATGTTAAGGCAAAACAAAAACAAAAAAAACACAATTAGGTTAGGTACAAACTTTTGGCAAAAATGTCTTGAAATTCCAGTTTAAAATGTTTCGGTGTATTTATTATGATCAGAGTAAGTGATAACATTCGTTTCGTGTTGTTTATATTAGGAAAATAAATAAATAAACAATGAGATAAACAGAAGTAAAACATGTTTGGAGTTTAGAATGGCAACAGATCCGATGAGCGAAGCCAAGCCAAGTAGTTCCAGTAGAAGCGAGGAAAATGCCAGTGGGGAAAAAAAGTTAACTGTTCTGGAGTCGCACGGCTACACGCTTGGCAAAACCATCGGTGTCGGAACTTATGCCTCCGTCAAAGTATTTTTAACGTTACATATTGCATACACATAAAATCCATTAACGAATTACCCTACATTTTTTGTATTTCACTGCTAAAAAATAAATCCAACAACGGTCTTTCGATCGATAATTGGAAAGCGTAAAGTGCTTTTCCCTTTCAATTTCCCGTCTCCTTGTCTGTTCTCGTGAAAAACGTCACTCGACCCAATACCGCAACGACACCAAGTATATACTTAACGTTAAATTTTCAGATCGCTCAGTCTGCTAGACACGGCCGAGTGGCAATAAAAATTGTATCGAAATTCCAAGCTCCCAGCTCGAACCTGAACAAATTCCTCCCGCGCGAAATTGAAGTCGTCAAGGGCTTACGGCATCCAAATTTAATTCGATTTTTACAAGCGATCGAAACAACGCACAGGTGAACGAAAAATAAAATTAAAACAACATCACTCTCGCGAGATCACAAATATTACGTGTCAGGGCCTGCATCCTTTTGCACCCGAAATAATGTTCATGTTTTCTTGGGTCAAAAAATTTTTAATGACTATAAATATATAACGATGCAACATAATTTATTATGCACGAGGTGGATTCTCGTTAAGAAAATGTTCATGCAGTAGCACATGCAGGCCCATACTTACTAACTGGAATGTGACAATAATTGTAGAGTTTACATAATAATGGAGTATGCGGAAAACGGGAGTTTGTTGGACGTAGTGCGACGCGACAAGTACATTGACGAGGAGCGCAGTCGACGCTGGTATCGGCATTTGTTGCTTGGGCTCGACTACTGTCACGAGAGAGGAGTCGTTCACAGGTAACGATCGATAAATCATCACCACTGCAATGGATAATTATTCATCTGTTGATCATTACTAGCTTTAAGTCCTTTCACTAAGATCGAGGTAAACGCTTTGACCGGTATTAATCCGGTTTTTTTTTTTTCAAGTAACAATTATCGAAACAATTATTCATTCCAAGGGGATGAGCTGTAGTATTCGAGCTTCGAGTCCGTGTCCGTCGGCAGAAAATTTTAACGAACATTACTTTCAGTCCAGTGTGTGGCAAATGTTTGGAAAGATATGAAAATCTTTTACACATCCGCCAAGGAACGTTTAGGTAATGGAGGATTGCCGACAGATTTAAGTGTTCTACAGTGGGCAGTATATAAAGCAATGAACCGGATGACGTTTTTAGTATAAATCAGTTAAGCCGTATGACAATTTGTTTAAGGCTATACGCGTTACTAGGTTAATAAATCAAAGTTAGATTACCAAAGCATTATTTAAAGTAGTGCGATTGATGCAATACAGCTTAATATTTCTCTGCAATTAAAGCCACTATATCAAAAATTATAACTTTGTTAAATGTTGTCAAATACTTTATTTATGCTGAGTATGAACTGTATGCATATATTTTTGTTTGCAGAAATCTTCAAGAGTTTATTGTATGTTACGTATAATTAAACCACGCATTTAAACTAAGCCTATGTAGAAGTTATTTTGTGCAACAAAATCAAACTAAAAACACTAATGTAAAAGCTACATTTTTTACTTTTAAATACAACAGCAAACACGTCTTAAAAAATTTAATACTTTATAATGAGAAGTAAAATTTTCATAAGTTGCACACGCCATTTAGATTGGCTCGCCCAAGTGCTCGCCCAAGCAAGTGGCTGGTGCAAATTGATTTCAACTGCATTTCATCGTTGGTTGACGATATGTTCACATTTCGCTCTCTGTTAGACCTTTGCTGAAAACCTGAACCTGAAATTCATTAATACAGGCCTGTAGAGAAAAAAAAGAATAATAAATAAATAAATAAATAAAAACGAAATATGCAGCTATTAAGTACCTAAAGAGGGTTCTGTCGAACTAGCAGCTGAGATCCAGGTGCATCTCCACTACTCTCCAACAACTGATCCATGTTCACCACGCCACACTGTCACCTTTACCTTTCATCAAAATCTGCAAATTATAATCACACGGATGGACAGGTTCATACTTTTGCAGTAACTACTGTGATATAAGATATTGCAGCACAAATCATCAAGTCAAGACTGATTAGACAACAGCTTTTGCTCAGATATATGGGCAACCTTAATTTGTTGTGACAATTATTGTTTAAATTTAGTGAAGCTAGTATGGAAGTTTTGGAGCGCATGGAACCATACAAATTCCGAGTTGGCAACACCCACGTTTTTTATCTCCTTTTTGGCTTCCGAAAGCAGACTTCATAATGATAACCAGCACCAGAGCTTCCAGATTTAGGACAACATCTCAGATTTGCAATCACATTAAACAATTCAAAGAGAATTACATGATAAGGCTCTAGGTATTCACGGCCTTTTTGAAGTATTTAACCAGAAAACTACATGATTGATCCTCGATGTAAATCGTACGCTTGGTTTTGGCCCTAGGGCTTACCCCGTTGATTTTTTACATCTTGATGAATATGTAATTGCTAATGTGTACCAGCAAACGTGTAAACACACGCAGTTGAAGTATGCGACATATGCGTATGTTTTGTTTACACCGCTTGGCGAACGCATATAGTAAGTAAGTTTAGTACAAGCTTCGGTGCTGTATGGACAGCACGGTAAACAAGAGCCCGATTACTTAATACGAGAATCAACTACACTGTTATAACTCTGTAACGTTTATTGTTTTACACCCACTTCCTTCCTTTATATTTAGCAATAGGTTATGGGCCCAGGGATCGTGCGTAAAATTGATAAACGGAGTTATAAGTAGTAAAGGTTATTGGAAATGGCTACGCGAGTGCAAGCGGTGTTTCAGCCCGTGAAGAGGCTAGTGGGAAGAGAGAACTATCGTTTANCAATGACCCGGGGCGCTTACTGGCCACTCCGTTTAATAAATAATTTTTGAAATAACACAAGTGCCTATCACCTGATGACCCGGGGCGCTTACTGGAAACTCCGTTAAATAAATAATTATTAATATAACGCAAGCGCCCATCACCTCATAATCCGGGGCGCTAACTGGCAACTCTGTTAAATAAATAATTATTGAAATAACACAAACGCCTATCACCGTATCACCTAGGGCACTAATTGCAAATCTAGTAAATAAATAATTATTAGTAAATATGTCAAGCACCTTTTTCCTGATGATCCAGGACACTTGTTTGCAAAACTATTAAATAATAAAAAGTTGATCGATAACATAAGTTATTATATCACAATTTTGATTGCTTATCTAGTACGACAAAGACCTTTTTAATTGGTGCTCTTGTAATTACTTGATAATTTATTATTCAATAGTAGCCAGTAAGTACCCCTGGGTCATTCGGTGATAGGCGCTTGTGTTATTCATAATTATTTATTTAACAGAGTTGCCAGTAAGCGCCCTAAGTCACTGAGTGATGGGTGCTTGTGTTATTTATTATGAATNTACACCGCTTGGCGGACGCATATAGTAAGCAAGTTCAGTACAAGCCTTGGTGCTGTATAGACAGCACGGGAAACGAGAGCCCGATTACTTAATACGCGAATAAACTACACTGTTATAACTCTGTAACGTTTATTGTTTTACACCCACTTCCTTCCTTTATATTTAGCAATAGGTTATGGGCCCAGGGATTGTGCGTAAAATTAATAAACGGAGTTATAAGTAGTAAAGGTTATTGGAAATGGCTACGCGAGTGCAAGTGGTGTATCAGCCCATGGAGAGGCTAGTGGGAAGAGAGAACTATCGTTCATGGGCAATAGGCATGAGAGCCTGTCTTGAACTCAAGGACTTGTGGGACACAGTGGAGGCCCTAGAAAATGGGCGAATAAGTGCCGACCCGACGAAGCTAAGAAAGGCGCGTGCTAAGCTCATATTGTCGGTCGACCCGAGCGTATATGTGCATGTTACCGAGTGTGATACGGCGCCGAACGTATGGAAAAATCTGAAGGTCGCCTTTGATGACAATGGTTTGATGAGAAGAGTAAATCTTTTGCGCAAGGTGACTATGACAAGATACGATCACTGTAAAAATATGAGCGCATATGTGAACAAAATTGTAACTGCGTCGCAGCAGTTACATGAAGCGGACATGAAATTACCCAATGAATTAGTGGGAGCATTATTGCTTGCTGGTTTGCCCGATTCCTACCAGCCAATGATAATGGCCATGGAGGCATCCAGCAGGCGGATAACGCAGGACTTAGTAAAAACCAAACTGCTCCAAGAAGCAAAACTGGAAGGCTCCGTCTGCGAGGACTACATGCAGGGCATGTTCACGCGCTTTCGTGAGCACAGCCTTACCGGCAAGAAAAAGGAAGAGTCAGGCAAACGCCATGCTTGCTATAATTGTGGGAAAGTCAGCCATTTTGAGCGTGAGTGCCAACGCAAAAAAAAGGGTACAGCGCAGGCGTGTACGGCGGACTCGGGAGAAGAAACGGAATCCGAGTCGGACGACGCCATGTGTACACTTCTAAGCACAGGAAAGCAACAGGCACCGGCACCCGACCAATGGATCCTTGACTCA